TGCAATGTACGCTCAATCAAACCGAGCCTGCAACATTTTCAATTTTGCAGTGTTGAGCTTTCCTTAGAGAGTTTTTTTCTATTTTATGAATAGAAACAAGCTCCATGTAAATTAAGTAGAATTCGCCACATTATTGATAGAGTTAAATTTTAGAAAAAAAAAAGAATAGATCAAAGAGGAAAAAACACATTACAGATACACCCCTTTAAATCATAACTCAAGAATGAAAATTACAAACGGAAATTGAAAATTCGTATCTCTTTAGGAACACAACTATGCCTTTGATGAAAAATAAATATTATGTAAATATTTTTTTAAATTTCATTAGACCAACGTGGCTTCTATAGGATAAAAACAGAATAATCGCAAATAATAAAGGAAATGGAACAAACTGGAATAGATAGACATATTTTTTACAACAATAAGCTGTTGTACAAAAAAAATGGATAGATGATTAAATAAAATGAGTGATAATGTTTTGACCACATTGTATGCCATGCTATATACTGAATATATTGTAAATTTATTGAAATATTTCTATTTCACGCAATAAATTTAAGAATATTGAATGAGTGTAGGTTCAATACTAAATTTATTGAACGAGTTGAATTAATTCAAATTATGCGAGCCTCTGGTGAGCATAAAATTGTTTCATTCCACGAGTTCAATAAACTTAGTATTGAATCTACACGAATATAATATTCCTTTTTATCACATACCCAAAATAAGAACTGTCTACAGTGAAAAACGACACACATTTTCATTGACGCGCCTATAGTGTAACGCTTACATTTAGCCCGTCATTTTAGCATGTTTTCTTCTCCATTTATGTACACCTGCGCGCACAGGTTTTATGCATGAATGATAGTTTTTTGTTGTTGTTGTTTTTTTTTAATTTAGAAACGTCTTTCAACACCCGCAAAGATCGGATAAGAATGAAAAGATACAGTAATTAGATGTCCGTACAAACGTAATTAAGAGAACGATTGGTGAATAAGAGAAAAATATATTAATTTAGATACAGTGTTTTAGAATTAATTCAAATCAAGTTAAAGTTAAGAATCAGATAAAGCGATTGTCTAATTTACAGTTACATTCAACTCATCTTTCACCAACTAGACCTTTCTAAACACACACATACTGTCAGGAATCAAATTATCTGTTAAGCATTAATACCAAGAAAATTGAGATTCAATTATCTCATACATTTTGCTGATAAATTAACACTACATCTGTGGGATACCTTAAAACTGTCTTTGTCTTTTATAAGAAGGCGTAGATAATGTATAGGTCTTAAAAAGAAAATTGAAAAGGACAAACAATGTCATCGAATACTCTCGTTCATTTTATTACTTTAAGCATGTAAAAGATTGTAAATCGTAAAACTATAAGATATCTAACTTGTTCATATCCTTGTACAGTTTTAAAGGGGTACATAGAAGTCTTAAAATATTTTTTCTCAGGCATAATGTAGTAATATAGTAATATAATTTCATTGTCTTTAAATGATATGTATCTCCAAGATAATTTATTCTGGATCAGAATGTAATGTTTTCATCCATTTTTTTTTTAATTTGTAATTTTGAATGTATGCAGATGTTTTCCCTAGAATACTCAAAGGCGAATATGGCATACTCACATGAAAGTTTGAAGTTTTAAGAATGTTCCTAGGATCACAAATATTTTAAGTTGTTTATCCTAATAAAAAGTTTAAATTTTAACAATTTCTCACCCCTTTAACTGTTGGTTGACTGATGTATATTGAAAGTAATTTTTTGTAAATTAGCCTCGCTGAGAAATCACGTGGCCTTTTAATTTCTGATTGCCTGTAGACAATACCACTGGATACTATCATATCTTTATATATTTCACACCCTATAAAATTCAATGTTACCAATGATCTTCCATTGTATGCGCCATGTGATCCAGCAATATTATTCACTATTGGTTTCAGTCTAAAGCCTCTTTTCCGAGTCCAAAGTATCCATATCAAATCACTATTGCATATTGGCCTCGTTTTTATTTTCAAAGTAAAAAAAATGCATACAAAATATTTATTGTAAAAGTAACAGTTAAAGTATGTAAGTAAGTTTTGTCAATTTATAAACAAAGTGATGATATCATTATATATAATTAGATACAATACTGATTTTATTGGACTCCTACAAAGCTGGAAGAAACCCTATATTAAATTCACCTGGCTCCTCTTTGAATTACTGGTTTGACAGCAGTTTATTTATCCAATATTATTCAGTATTGTACATTATCTCAAAGTATCATATACTTGCATCATTACTGCGCGAAATGCACTGTGTGTATTTTATATATGTGATTATGTGTACCTACGATCCCAGTACGAGGTAGTACTCATTAAAAAACTGCACTTGTTTTGAACTATCTACTTACTAGTTTGTTTTGCGGGCTCATCATGAGATTGACCATCGCAATATGACATTACTAGTGTCATTGTCTCTAGTTGGTTTATACTGAATTTATTTTAGTTCGATTGTGTAGGAAACTATAAACTTATAGACACAATTTCGAATCCGTTCCTGATACTAACTAGTTCTGATTGTCTTTCTCAAGCTTAAGAAAACACTGAGTCTTGTCTATAGTTCAAGTGAATTAGTCTTAATCGGACACATTTGTGTTAATTTTAATTATTATTATTTTTTGGGTTTGACGTCACATTGACAAAATTTGGATCACATGGCGACGTTCTGGCTTTACTGGTGAAGGAATACTTCAGTTGCCCTTCCGTGCATTATTTCGGGCACGAGCGGGCACCTTAGTAGAACCAACGCCGTCGGTAAGCTAGCTGGAAGCTTCCTCACGCACGTGAAAGAATCAAAAGTCCCATCGGATCATGTATCTCAACCTTATCAAAACAGTCATATAATCATTTTTCGAAGTTTGTTGTCATGTATGTTACTAAATAATATCAACATACATTTGTAGCTATATGTGATATGGCTGTCCTTCCATTATAGACCAATTCACTTTTTAAAAGATAGTTTGTACAAAGAAACAAAGAGTTTTCATTTCTAATGTGACTTTCATTTCGAACATTTAATGAATGAAACAGCTAAAATTGCCGCATCTGAAATAAGAAATACTCATAAAAAATAAGAATATACATGTTATTAGGAATGCCTTCTTCTTTATTTTTTGATCTTATACATATGCATACAGCATCTATAAATATTGTTTCAAACATATTTAACGAGAGGCGTTTTAAAGATTTATATGTACATATGTTTAATTTATCTCTATTTATTTCAAAATTAATAGGTAATGTGAACTTTATTGTAATCTATAAAGATGGGATCCATTTTGAATCATTATTTAAATATTTGTTTTTAATACCATCATTTTTATATTTAGGATATATTTTTTTTGTACAGCATGCGTCTGTTTTGATTTAATGGGCAATTTAAAAAGATAAAAGTCTAGGCAAACCATAATTTTATTGGAATAAGATTCCTAATGTTTTATTATGTTTTGAATGGCGCACAAACAACATTTTATTAATTGATTTTATAATTGTTATTGTTTGAGTTTGAATAAAATTCTACTTCAACCGCATTTTCTGATATGACAATCATTGTATTATTATGGAGACCAATGTTAAGAACCTTAACAAAAAGGTATTTTTTTTGATCTCGTTTGATTCTTAGAATTGAAGACGATTAAATAATGAGGGTTGAATAGCACTTAAGCCGGTGCTAGGGGGGCCATAAGGGATGTTGCACTTTTGTCTTCATTCCTACCGAGGGAACACCACTTTTCCAAATTGTAAAATATTGAGTTCGTTCTCCGTTTAAATCAAGTTTGATATGAAGTAACTATTTTCCAACAAGGTGTCAACTCTTATCTTCAGCTAATGAAAGAAGCCTCCCAGGGCTCCTGATACGTTACAAACATTTAGGAACAAAAGATGTATTATGACAATAAAAATGTAGAAATGTTGTTACGAGAAGGTTTGTAATTATATGACTATATTTGAGCTAACACTCAGATCTTTGACATTTCAAACATTTGTACAGCTTTAATTTCAATAAAATCTTCCCTGATACAGTGTAGAACTCATCCTGCTAATTTCTGGACAAATTGGTATATAATAGGAACGTATGGTGTAATGTAAAAGGTCAATTTACGCGAAACAAATTAGTGCAAAGGCTAAATAACTTCTTCTATACACTCGTAAATAACTATCTGATCGTAAATATCTTCTCAAACAAAAGACTGCTGAAACTGCAATATTTTTTAATCTAAAACTACTTGCCAGTGTAAGCATAACATATATGCCCTTTATATTACATTAAGAATACTTTGATACTTTAAACAGCTCGCAAATATTCACATAATACAGTTTTGTTTATATCTGTACAGCTTTTTCATAAAGTACTTAATTTCAAATTCCTATAATGATGTTGTCATGGCGGAAAGATATATGTCACCTTATAAAATATAAACACTTAAACTGTTTAAAATAAAATGGCATTCTCTATTCAACAACACAGATCCAGATTCCTTTCAAAAAGAGTAATAAATTTCTTTATTTATTTTGCCAGATAAAGAATATTATTAATATTACTATTGCATATCAATTCCATGAAGTTTATGATGGAAGATCTTTTAAATAGTAATTTATAAAAAAAAATCTAATTTCTATGAAACATGGACTAATAAATATAAAATGGTTCTCGTCCTCAAAATCAACATTATTACAACAGAGTTTATATCTTTCCTTGCGTGGTAATCTATTTAGACCATACATTTCAGTTAGTATGCTAGGTGCATGCGCTGAAATCCGCGATGTATACGATATGGGGCTATGTGAATTTAAGTGTCACTGAGTAAAACAAGCATACTTACATGCAATTAGTACCTTAATTGAATGTTCACAGGAAAGGGAATTTGAGAGCAAAGTGAGAAAATATGCATTGTAATGACAATTATGATTTATAAATTGTTTATTTTACCATTTTTCGTTTCAGTCGTAACGATTCTTGCTGACGTAAACGAATACCGATTAATTAGAGACCTACTTAGAAGTTATGATAAAAGAATACGTCCGTCGTTAAATGCCAGTACATCACTTAACGTTACATTTGGATTTTCATTGTCACAGATTATTGACGTGGTAAGTACTTGCAGTTTTAAATTGCTATAAATTGATAAACATGTATGTAAATACACAATTTTACTCATATTTGTTCTGTGGGTATTATTATATAGGCGTCAATATAGGCGTTTTGGGCGATTTTTACTCTATTTAAGCTTAATCAGAAAATTTGCACAAGACGTTATATTATAAATGTTGTATTGTTACGTAGTAAATCTTTTGACTTTGCGTGTTATTTAATTTTTATGAATTATTTTATTTCAGGATGAGAAGAATCAAATATTGACAACAAATTGTTGGTTGAACCAGGTAATTTGAAGAATTTATTTCAATTAGCTATTGCCACACGCTTAATATTTTAAATGGATGTACTGACTGAATATCGAAAAGTGCAAACAATTATAAGGGGAAAAGAGGAAAACAAAGTCATTGAACTTTGGATAAAATTAAATAGAATCGTTTTATTTATTTCTTTATGTCAGATTTAAAGAATGGACGCATTTCAGAATTCTGGTTTCCGTTAAATTTAGAACGAATTAAGTCAAAGTTATTCAATTTTCTATGACGGTTTCGATGAATCAATACCTAAATCTGTTCATCATTTCTAAAGCATCATTAAATATTTTTTTATTTATTTTATTATTATTAATATTATTATTTAAGTGTATCGTGTCCAACATTCATTTTAAAACACATGTTTGAAAAAAAAGATAAAAACACAAACAGAAACATTAAAAAGAGATTTGTTTAGCATAATGTTTTTAGTAAAATTGACGATTAATGTGCCACAAACAAAATTGAATCTGAATTGAAGAAAAAAAGGTTATACAAAAATTGTAATTGTGAACTATTCTTCTGATTGATTAATCGAGGCTATTTTGACGTTTGCTTGTAGGAAACTAAATCGAAAACGACATCAAAACTATTTCACTGTGTCATATTTAATAACTCTTTGCAAGTATGGTTTTGCTAGAGATAAAGTATGCAATTTAAGCGAAAAAGATATGCACACAATGTCATTCATAAAGTTGTTACGAATTAACTATAGATTTGTTGTAGGTCATGTGGCATAGATTTAAGGACAACAGATTTAATAAAGTTAAAATGTTAACATCCGCTCTCTGTCAGTTTCTTTAAATATAAAATGGTCATTTTGTCGATCATATCTTGCTATTGAGGCTTTAAAAGTTGATTTACATTCTGATCATAGATAATTGTATTCTGTATCTGTCAACTACTCTATTCACCTGGTACATATACATAATTATTATAATAACCTGCTTCAAAACTATAATAACATTATATAAGGGCCAGTCAGAACGTTAAAACAGTACATATATTTTGATTGCCATAGTTACGGCGTTTATTCCGTTATATTGCTATTCCTAATTCGAGATGAACTTAAGATGTTCCGATTAAATATATACTATGCTCATCTTAGAGTAAAATATTTTTATATAAATTAATAAAAATCAAATGTAATTCATTCTAAATATGTCTAGTTTTTTAAAAGAATGTGCAATCTGTGTGTTGGAAGATGCATATCCTATTACAGGTCACGTGAGTTGGTCCTTTCTTAAAAAAACTGCCAGTTTTTTTAATGACACTATATATTCTTTTTGTGTCAACCTATAGTGTATATAGTATAAACATAAGATATCTACTTTGTGTGTAGTAATACATGCTTATTCTATATTTACAAAAAGACTGCAAAGAAATTGTCAATATTCAAAAAATAGAAAATTGAAGCATAGTATATCTTTAAGATCTGTTAATAGATTAGAGAAAAAAAACCAAAATCCCTAAAGAACGTCCAAAACAATAAAATTGAAATTGTTGCTGGTTCGTATGTTTGAATCTGTTCATGGACGGTAGTGGTAATTGCTTGCTACCGCCCACGCCCACCAGCACAGACTTAAGTAGAATTCAACATTATAGAAGTTTCTTTTACACAAAGTCCAAATTGTTCTTTTCTGCTTACGCACTTATTGGATATCAAGGACTTAAGCCGATACAGTTTCAAATTATAAGCTCCATTGATTAGTTGGTGAGCGTGTATTCAATTTGACACAAAATGTCTGTAAATTGACCAAGATGTCTGAAGCACGGTGTCAAAACGTCAGTAGTGTATTAATCAACTTGTCAAATAGACATTTAGCACTGTGGAATCGCGGAAACGACAAACAGTCTAAAGAGAAATTGGCATTTTCTTCATGTCAGATATGAATTATGAAGATATGTTTTTATTTGTACATAACATTTACTGTTATATATGAAAGTTTACACTGTATCTAAACATGTTTGTTCGATTTTATACAACACAAAGTAATTATTGATATAGAGGTATTTGTCTATTTGAATTAAAATATTTCCTCTTTTGTATAGATGTGGATTGACTATGGTTTGCGCTGGAAACCAGAAAAATATGGTGGTCTAAAGGTTGTCAGAATTCCACATGATGCCGTTTGGAAGCCCGATATACTACTCTATAACAAGTAAATATTAATATAACATTTACTACGTCATAAAGACTAACATTTAAATTTGAAAACTTATATTACATAATTAACGCCATATCAAAAAACTTTTAAATATAAAATAAATACTATCATTACATTAGTAACGTTATATATACCAACATTTGAATAAATGCCCACACAAACTATTTATTAATTATTGATATATCCTTTTTTAGTCTTATATCTCATAATTGTTAAACGCAAATAGAAAATTGGTAATTAGAAATATTTTTATATTATATCGTTCGAAAGACTAGACAATTCTGTAGATTAGCATATCAATACACTATTAATGTAGTATTTTATTTTTTGACATTCTCAATCATTTTTTTAAACTTTGTCATGTTTTGTATGTAGTTTATATATTTGAATATAACTGATTGAATTTAATATGACATGATTTCTTGATACATGCATTGTAATAGATATACATGCATATGTATGTTATGATGATTGGTGTTGAGCCCAAGTAAGAAATAAAGTAAATGTTCTGTTCTGATCTCATATGAAGGTCATTAAGTAACAACAAATGTTTTACAAGTCAGATCAAACGCAAATAAATAAAACATACATAGGTAAATCTTACTGAAACTAGATTTCAAAATGTTATGCTTCTGAAAATCAAGTTGATACCTACATATAAGTGTATAAAGCTATGTATCTCTTCAAATGGCCTATATTATAGCAATAAATAAGTATTTTTAATTAAAAGCGGATGATTCATTGCTAAACGGTTAACAACCTGCTTCAGATAGCAACATAATATTTTGAAGAATCAAAACATAAATTATCATTATGTTCTTTACTTTTTCCAGTTACTATAAATAAACAATTGTTTCCTTAACTCTTTTCAGTGCTGATGTATCAACTCATTTCTCTTCTATCAGTTCCAATGTAATAGTGACGTCAGATGGCAATATCACGTGGTTATCTATGGTGATTTTCAAAAGTTCTTGTGCAATAAACGTGCGATATTTCCCATTTGACGTTCAGAACTGCTCAATGCAGTTTGCGTCCTGGACATATGACGGATTCCAAGTTAACCTTGTCATCACAACAAATGAGGGCGATACTTCAAATTATATTCCTAACAGCGAATGGGACCTTATAAAATTGTATGTTGAACGGAACGTCGTGTTTTATTCCTGCTGTGTCGAACCTTATCCGGATATTACGTACAGTATATATATAAAACGCCGGCCCCTATTCTACATTTTCAATATGTTTTTACCGTGTATATTGATAACGTTAGTGGCGTTGCTAGGTTTCTACATACCTAGTGACAGTGGTGAAAAGGTGACTATGGGAATTACAACATTATTGTCAATGACTGTCTTTATGATGCTCGTAGCAGAGAACATGCCGCCAACATCAAACGTTTTACCACTCATAGGTAGGTATTTGATGTCATAATGATGTTCATTTTTCATTTTTTCCGATCAGTTTGTATATTTTTGATTACATCATTATCAAATATTTATGTTTTATACAAAGTATAACCAAATTTCCTTATGTTTTCCTTATTGTTTAACGAATATTTCAAACTTAACCTGTTAAAGACTTTGAATGAATCGAGCTACGATGCGCTGTTCAATCTTACCTGGGACTTAAAATATGTTATCTTTTTGTCCGAGATTCAAACGCAATAGGTGATATTTCTAATGTAGAATTATAGTAAACCAAATGCATTGTATTTATTGTCCTAGATGTAAATATAAATATTTAGCGTAATTAATGCGTTAATTTCTTCTTTTTTTTCGGTATTTGATTCCGTATTTGTTATTTAGATATTCACTTTAACAGGTTGTTTTATCTACCTATATATAAACACTGATTAGGATATGCTCTACTCGTCTAGTCAACTTGAATGAGTGGACCTAATTGCATGTGTTATTTTTCTTACCCCATCTCAAAACATATCTTTATCATTGACAAAACATCGCTACATCAATTGAAACGCCTTGTATGTTCTCTCTTTTTACAGGTATATACTACGGTTTCACGATATTTATCGTTTCCACGGCAACGGGAATGACTGTTATGACGTTAAATATTCACCACAAAGGTCACCGAGGACATCATGTTCCAAAATTGCTTAAATCTATTTGTTTTGGTGTATTTTCAAAATTGTTCTGCATGCAAATGGAAATACCCCACCATCCTGGGGAACGATATTTGAGCACAACGGTAAGAATGCTAAATTACTTTAAAAAAGTATCTGATTGTCTTAATATACAGTATATACAAATATTTAGTTAATAAATTATTCATAAATTAGTATGAAGCTGTTTAATTGAACGCATTTACAGTCAAATTTAATCACAGATTCAAGAAATATACGATTGAACAAAAAAGGTTAACGTTTGCAAAAAGTTCGAATCATAATAAATTTAAATTGACAATTCCAAAAGACTATAACCTCTGATATAAAAGTCCACTAAGTAACTCAGAAATGACGCCATTTTTTACTTTCAGTATACACCGGCTGACCCTTCGGACGGTCAGTATATACGATATAAAATGTCCGATTCTGATAGTAATACAAATACGGACACTTCACATCGAAATCAAACTTTTGTAAGTATAGGACACCTTAGTTCTATCATGTCTCTTATAAAAGCACCTGAGCATACTGTAACAGATTAGATATACATTAAGATAAGCTGTTGACATAATTTCTTAAGGGAACTTTCCTTGAGATTGAAATAACCTGTTGATTTTGGTATGATTTTTTTTCGGGTGGGGTGGCTGGGGGATGTGGTTGCGATACTCTCTTACTTGGGTAGTGTTTATTTAGTAGAACACATACTCGTATGTTAAATATTTGTTTGTATTTGCAATAGGATAATATTAATTATTTTATCTCATTCAAAACGTTCACTAAGTCCTAACTATACATTTGTGTGATTCTGATTCGTCATAATAATTTTTGACATCTGATATTTGTTGTTCAAATAGTTATTCGTTCATTGAACTTTATTCTTTTAATTTCTGCTCTGTCTCTTGACCTGTCTTTGTCATTTTCCGCTCCGTCTTTGTTGTCGAATAAAGCAACTTTGAATAACAAGTTCTGAAAATAGATGTCTTAATGATATAACAAACAAGCAGACTTTCAACATAAGTTTTGATGATTGCAGGTTTTAAATCAGCTTAGCGAACACAATCTTTTTCCTGGTTCAAGAGTGAGGCCTGATTCTAGCCGAGCAACATGCAACGGTTTTGGACCAATGAATGGAATGAATCAACCTCAGTCGCCACATAGTATTTCTCAACCTCCACATATTCCACAAGTTCCAGACAAAGACCATCCCGCGGATGATAATTTTGAACGATTTTTCATACACGTTTTGACTAAATTGAACACAACCATTGAGTTAAACGAAAGGCGTTTAGCTGAGCAAGACGAACGTGAAAAGATCAAGCTTGAGTGGCAACATGTAGCGCGTGTTGTGGATCGAATCCTTCTGACTGTCTTTATGGTTGTAACATTGACAATTACTTGTGCTATAATGTTTCAGTCGGAGGGGTGATCATATCAGCGGCAAACGTTTTGTGCTAAGTATTTCTTCAATGCCATACCTTTTGGCTTCATGCATTAGATGGGCGGAAATTTTAGGGTAACGTGATGCAGACAGTTAGGATAGTTGATTGTTTTCAATGGAATGGAATTTAGGAACATATGTTCTCAATGGAATGGAATTTAAAAATGCAGTATGAAAAATGTGTTGAAGTGTAAAACATTCAGAAGTGTTGTCAATTGTATTAGAATTATCACTTCTCATAATGTATATACATTTGTTTTGAATGCACAATCATCGATTTAATAATTACAAGGTATTTTACAACAATTTACTCCGAGAACAAATATTTAAAATTAAATTGTCATATTATTCAAACATTATGTAATCGACAACTTCAAGAACTTTAAAATGAAATACATAACATCGAGGTCAGCGGTTTGTTTATACTTTACATATTTAGATTTCAGGAGAAAGTTTTTTAGTTTTATAAATCTAGATATTGTGAAAGCACGGTTTTAGTGAGTTCGCATCCGATCCGATGTCAGTTTGGTTTGTCATCAAAACATTAGTATGTAAATGTTACATTTAAACAACAATTTCTTAAATATGAACGTTTATAATTTGCTTTACATATAAACGGCCATTAGTATATATTGAAGTCTGCGAGAAAAACGGTCTGATTTTTAACTATAACAATACCTTCCGATTTAAATGTTCCAACAAGAATTACGTACAAATCTTCAAAAGCTACGGTGTGCAAAACCTAATAATTGGAACTAGCTTAAATTGAAAGATCCATACGCGCAATTTCCAAGCTCAATTTCATATACATCTATTTGGAAAATGTAAATATTTAATACATTTTAAGTCAATATAGATGCGGGCATCTAGTACATAGCAAACAATGCTATACAGAAAAAATATACATATCTGTGGTAATAGTAAATTGATATAATGATATAACACTTTCAATGTAAACAATGTAGTAATAATTGTAAGCGTTTTGTCATTAAAATTTTATTATAGCCATTAATGTGTTTTACTATGCTTGTTATTAACAACTTTCCATCCATAGAAATTCATTACTAGGTACAACATGTACATAAATTTTCATGCAAAAATGATCAGTGAATAAACAGACTTTGAAATATTCAACATTCAGATGATGTCCGACTAACGTACAAAGAATACTACATTAATATAATGTTGTCAGATTGGTCAAACTGTATCATAATCAATTTCCTACAAACATGAAACTCATGTAAGTATTGTAACAGTAACAGTTAGTCGAACATAATCAACGCATCCGAAAGTAAATATGTTTTGCCACCTTTCAATGCTAGTCTGCAGCCTCTTTAACTTTTGTTTTTATAGTTGACAATGGACAGTCCTCAAAAATTGAAGCAGAATTAGGAATAAGCTTCTGATTGTAAATCATTAATATTTAAGAGAACTTTCTGAATACACGATCATTTGATTTCTAACCGTAAGATAATGTAATTCCTTTTCAAGTAGCTGCAAAGTAAATCGTTCAGTTAAGTACATATAATAGACTAGCCACATGGTCTATGGACAGTTAATAATTTACAAAAGGTTTTCAGTATGAATGTGGAATAAATGCACGACTGTAATTGTAAGAGATTTCTATAAGTAAACATAACCTATAGTAATATCCATTATTGTATTTTACGTACCTTTACTAAAAACAAGTGTGTTATACTGTCATCATCTAAAACAAATTCTATATCAGTTTTGGATGTTCTGAAGCACATTTGTTCCTTTGAAGAGAAGAAGAAATAAATTTTGATTTAAAAGGGCTCTATCTATCTTCAGAAGTTTTGCGTTCTAAACATTTAAATCTATTTGGGCTGATACACGACATATTAAGGATGATTTAACCATTATATGCTTGTCTTTAACATAGATTTAAATTCATGCCGAGCGTCGTCATATTGCTAAATGCAAGCGTTACTTGTTATGTAAGGCCAAAGTATATGGAATGATATCTCAAATTTAGTTGTCTTTCGTCAGAATAACATTTTGTGACCTTTATATTTACAAACAACAACTCAACAATCTTAAAGTAATAGAAAGTGCATATAACACGAGGCTATTTGATTTGTACGAGGGGGCGTAGTCCCCCGGCTATTTATCAGATTGCCGAGTCTTTCGATGTTCTTTCTCTTTTGTATCATAGTCAAACATAAAGACACGGTCCCTGTTGTCACAATATGAAACCCCAGAAAAAGTAACCAATGAATGAGCATCTGAATATGATATTGCTATCGCTTTCCCAATCTCTGCCGTCACAATAAGTAAACCCCAGCAAAAATGAGTCAATCAATTGGCATGCTCTGGACTGCGGGTAACTAATACCTGCACTCCAGTTAACGCACTGTGCATGTATATGTATACGATTTAACTCTGACACATATTCAACAGAAAGGCCCCCAAACTATGATACAATAAACTGTTATAGCATATGCGACCGGTTATTCAACATGACACTAATTTTTCACTTAAATTGTTTTTATAGCCGTTAAATACTATGTAATTGTCTAAATGAGTGGTTTTATTCAACATAAAACATAACTAACGTTAAATAATACAATCGTTAAAAACGTAAGTCATTCAAAGAAAATAAAAGAAATTGTTAAACACAGCAGAGATAGAAATACATAAAAATGAGTGTTAGTGAAGGCCAACAGGATTAATATTGTGCATGCATCAAGGCATTTAAAACTTATATTAAAGTGTTTAAAAAATACAATAGTTATAGTTTGTTAAAACCAGACGACATAAAATGATTATTTTTGACGCTTTATCTGCCCATACAGATATCAAATTATTAGACTCGTATGATTTCTTGTTAGAATATTTTCCATTACGAAGTACGAACAAACCATCAAAATTCAGTTTAACATTATTCTGTCTAGATGAAAGAACATCATATTACTTTTTATTTGTGCGTGTATGCGTGAGTGTGAACGTGATTTAATTGCGTTGTATAATTTATTTATTTTTAAGTTACCATAATCACTATTCCCTTCTTTAAGAAAAGAAATATTTGTTATTATCCTTTTTGACATTAACAAAGTCAAATTGTTCTTGTGACTATATGATTGCTTTATTTGGAACATAAGAAAACTGTTTTATTTAGTTTTCAGACGTTTGCATCGACGTGAAGCAATTTGTTTCCGTTCTGTAATTGGCAGAAGATTTTCCTTAGACAGATTGAATAGACGAGAAATGGATCGTTTAATGATTATAAATTACAGGTCTTGGAATGTCACTTGATTGACAAATTTATCTCTGCCTTCGCAGATTCCAGAAATGGCCATACATTAGTTGCATCAATTCAAAACAATGATTATTTAAAAGATCGAAATTAGCAAAGAAAATAGAATTCAACGATCGTGCAGATTTTTTTAGATTTTTTATCAAATGATGAGATTATTTTTGAACTGAGGCGTCTGTGTTGTAAATTGCTTATTTTGTCAACGTGTGTCTTAATATTCAATTTCAAGGTTATGATTTCTATCTACTTGCGTATGGTAACATCAATGTTGTGAAAAGATCATTATTATATTTTAATTATACCTTGCAAAAGCTTTTACGCAATATATTGAATTCTCTTTACAATTAAAAGAATGTAGTTTTTAAAAAAAATTCTATTTTAATATAATTAACTTTAATTAATTAATTCTGAATAAATATTTTTTTATGAACTTGATTGAAAACGTTTAAACACTTTTATGATATAAATTGCCTTATATTTAATATTAATAACTCAAATAACTCATAGGAAATTGGTATATTGACATACATATAGCTGATTGAAAATCTATAACATAATTTATTCAAACTTTGCATTATCTAAGAATATTATAATAGAAAATGAGCATATTTTAATTAGCCAGGTCAGGTGTTTCTAAAAAGGCTGATATCACTGTAGCAATGTGAGGATACATTCAAATTTATTACATAGATAATGCACGTAGAGCTCAGCTCGCAGAGACAAATGAGAACACAGTAACTTTTTGATATCCTTTTAACTCTAAGAAAAATGTCAATTATTAATTGTTGACTGTTTATGTTTTCTAGAAAAAGTAAGCAAAACATTATTTTGTTTCATATGACAGGAATGAATTGCATTAACAATCCTAGGTATTGTTGAAAACTCATTGTTTTACATGCCAGATTAAGTAATTGGACCCCATCCTTGTTTGTACGTGACTGCTGGGGAAAAATAATGTTATGCTTAATTAAAGAGGTGACACTTTCTATATTTTTATCTGATATCGAGTTGTAAGAGCCGATTTGCAGTTATATGGGTAAGAGTTCGATAAGACTCCCTACGGTCGTCTTAATACGAACTCTTACCCATACTTGTTATCGCAAACTAAGTGCATAATTTTCGTTCAAAAAGGCTTTTTTTAACTGTAAGTAGATTTTTCAGATCAATGTGAATTGTCTGTTTCGATACAACTGCTTGCAAATAGGAAGAAGAAAGTGCTTATTTTTCTCGAATTATTGCTAATACTGGTTTGCATTATAAGGCCGGAATCCAAAAACATATTTGTGAAAACTGTTTTTTGCGAGATGAAGAGGGTCCTAAAATACTATTTTGTTATACCCTGTCATGAGGTTGACTGCAACTGGTATTAATCTTAAATAAAAAATCATCTGCCTCGTCTCAAATAAGAACTGTAACTGAATAGAATCTTAATATGTTGCGTAAAATAAGAATATTATAAAATAATTATTAAATAACCTGCCCATTGAATGAATATTGTGAATATTGATTTTCGTCAGGAATATGTATTTTACAATTATCCGTTACAAAGTGTCTATTAAAAGCGCAAAGCTCTGTATATTGGTGTCTTCTATTCGCAAAGCGCAAAAATGCAGAACAATACGTTATAGTATTTTGTTGAGCTTGTACACATTCAAGTATGTCAAAGGATTATATTAATGTGATCGTAAAACGAATATCTCTTGCAGAATAACCACATCATTTTTTAAAAGTACCACTTTTGATCAGATAACAAAGGACCAATATATACCATAAAGTTCTATATTTGCATCTAAACAATGTTACTGTAACAGTAACAGATGAATGAAAATATCACAATAACAATAACTACGTCACTGTCATGAAAGAAAGAATAAAGCTTGAAAATATTAATTCAAAATACACACTGAAAAGAAAACTCTTTAATTATAAAATAAAAGTAAGTTCCTTCAGTATCAAAATATTGTTTTGTGATATGAAAACAATTTTAAGCAATGTAATTGACAAATAATTGCGGAAATGATACATTGTTTTGTCTGGCAATAAATATTTTACTACAATAATTAGATACATGGATAAAGATTATGATTGAATGTCTCCGATTCGCAATATCCTCTTATTTCTGCTTGACATTACAACATTACTAGTACTTTATAACGCAGATATTAAAGATTCTTAAAGACCTTTTATGTCCAGTTTTAAAAAACAAAATAACCCCTTTGGCTGAGGGGTTGTCTTTACGGGTTGAATCATCATAATTTCAGTTGCATGATTGTAAGAGGCGACAAAATTGATTCGAATTAATTGAGTCTATGTGTCTCTTAGTTCCAGCTGGTAAGGTGGTTTGGACCCCTGGTGTTGCTTAAAGTTTGTAAAACCCGAGGTTTGCCAAAATCATATTTCCTGTTTCGGCACCAAATATATATATATATATATATATATATATATATATATATATATATATATATATATATATATATATATATATATATATATATATATATATATATATGCACATTTAATATTTTTATCTTATGTATTCAAGTACGTTCAGTAAAATATTAAAGAAATTTGATATTTTAAAGAAAATATTTAGCACATATTTTCGGTTATTATGTAGATGCTTTCAAAACATCATCTTACTCGTACGTATTCAAACGTTTTAGTGTTTGTTTGTTTGTTGTTGTTGTTGATTGTTTGTTGTTCTTTAATATCTTTAAGAAAA